TGATCTCGGCGGTCCGAGCTGGGCATGACTCATGAGCCATCTTGGAGAACCAATAGGGGTCCTCCACGTGTCCAGGGTATTCCCTTCCCCAAACACATTTCATGCGATATGAGCGTACCAACTCGGAAAAAAGTGGCCATAAAGCTATACAAAAATGCTGTTGGTACACTTCGTGAGTCCAAATTCACTTACTATTGGGACCAGCTCGTACATTACCTTGCTGGTTCTATCGCACAGTATTTACATAATGTTATACTTGAATGGTGGGCACGGTGTTACCAGGTGAAAAGAAGATATAAAGTGATCATTGTTAACTCTTTAAAAGAGAGTTATTGTAGTAATTATTTGGGTAAATATGTGCAAGATAGTGAAGTTATGTGTCTAATTTTTCTCAAAGGAGCGAGGGATTGAATGAAAACTAAAATAGTAATGCCTTAGTTCCTTGACTTGATAATTGGGCATAAGCTCCTTTCTAGTTCTCCTATTTTGGCTCTTATGTGCAAGAAATTAAGCTGAAAAATTGAATCGATGGGAGACCTGGGGCATTACGGAGCCATAGTGTATAAAGTCGGAGTAACCGTATGCGGCATCATGTGATCACAATGCAATAATTGACCCACTGGAAAATTTTTACTGTGCCCGTACAAAGACTAGCTGGGTGCCATAAAATTAGAACCCGATATAAAAAGGACAAGGGTCTCCGACCGACAGACACAACGATCCCAAGAGAGAAATATTCCTTGCCTAGTTCTGAAGACAAGAGAATAATCACCCATTTTTGAGGAAGAGGCTGACGACAAGGGATGGAGCTGCTGGTTTCATGTTTAACTGGTAACCTTTACGTGTCATTGGTTTTTCAAGAATGTAGATGACCGACATCTAAAGATGTCCGGAATTTTCGATACTTGGAATATTAGATGTCCGACATCTTTAGATAATCATGTTTGTTTTGTAAGAATATTTTTAAAGATATCCGGGAATATTTGGATAACCACATTTGTTCTGCAAGATTTATTCTTACGAATATATTAAATTTATAGAATGTTCCAAAAATGTCCTCATAAATATTTATATAATTTATAAATTCATCTAATATAATAGATTTATATTTATATTTTTTATATGTTTTTTTAGAACAAATTAATTTATTATTCATGTAATATAAGTTTCATTTTCAACTTTAATAGTTTATCAAAATGACAATTATATAATTCATGTTATCCTGGGTAAAATTTATTTATCCTATCATCACATTAAAAAATGACAATTATATAATTCATGTTATCTTGGGTAAAATTTATTTATCTTATCATCACATTATAGTTTTTTTAAGATGAAAAATATCATGGGTATGTTGACTATAAAAAAAATGTTGCTTTACAATTATATATTTATGATAATAAATATAATTAATAATGTAATTCCTTCCCAATAATATAAAAAAATAAATGGATATATTATATAATTTAATGTAGTTTATTTTACATGTAAATCTAATGTACAAATATACTTAACAGCGTAAAGTTATTTATTAAACGATAAGTATATTAATTTATTTTAATTATAAATTTAAAAACAAAAATAAAGAAATTTTTTTAGGAAAAATTAAAAAACATAGATGAAAGAAAATATATGGAGAAAATAATGGATGGYAAAAATGTAAGAAATGGATGTCGTCGACACGGGAATCTTGAAAACCCGTGTTTCAAAAGGGCATCCAAAACTCATAATATGCCTCCCATATGGACATCCTAGGATACCCGGGCATCTCGAGATACCCAGATATCTTACATTACTGCAAAACAAACGTAGGAATCCAGATGTTCGTCTCACGAAAATCTTGGATTCCCACCAAACAAACGGCCCCTTAGGAGTTTGCCTTGATTTCTTCTTGAAATGGGTTACTTATTTTTATTTACCCACTGTATTTCTCCCATCCCCTATGAACTAAACTCCATTTTCGAGAGAGATTGCATGTTGTAACTCATGAATAGCAACACTCTAGTTGATTGTGTATGCTGATAAATAGAGCTGTGATAATATTTTCATCTTACTGACTSTTATTGGCCACTTCTATCGGTTTGTTAGCTCTTGTATGATTCAGAAGGATATACACGTAGCATGAATAGCTCTATTTGTGGATTAGTTACTTTTCTTTAGTAGATTTTGTGGATGCTTAGGAATAAGGTCCCTTAACCATGCTTAGAAACTTCTTTTATTGCTTGAGTATTTAGCAATGAAAGTCGTAGATATTCATGCTTGGGTGACACGACCCGTCCCAAACACCTACTAGTCTTAGAACGAGTCGTGCCAACCATAGACCCTRACTAGCTATGGAGTCCACGGTCAACTTCTTTCTTAACTTTAACCTAATCTTTGACTAACAAGCTCTGAATGGATGCACAATAAATCAATAATCTCAACAGAACAACCATTCTTACATCCATTCTAAACATTYCTTTTTATCGAAAAGGTGATAACAGTTTCACAACAACTACATGTACGTACAAAGTGATATGCAGATCCCCAACAACTCTGGGTGACAAAAGCTAAACTAAAATCTCCTTGAAACTCAGAAAGTCAGATACTTAGATACAGCCTGGGGGAAAAACAAATGATAACCAGTGAGCTAGGAAGATCAATGAGTGGTAGGTTAGTCAGTGATAATGGTAAACATGAAGTTTCTTCGGCAACGATTTTTCCAAGCAATATGCTTGAGGGGACGATAGGAAAATATTCTCGTAAAACATCTTTCTTAACAACTAAAATTCAGTTCTTAAAACAAATTTCATAAAACTAAAGTAACAACATTCTCATTTGAATTTCATAAAACCTAAACAACTAAAAACTCAGTAAAATTTCTCAAAATAAACTTGTATAAACAATTTCTTTCTAGGCAAATCGAAAAGGCAACGCTCCCAAGTCCAGTATTTAGATCAGGATTTGGAATCCGGATTTGGTCCTAATCGCCCCGACATTCCCCTGCGTCCCCTGCGACCTAATTACGCCAACTTCTCAACCTGCTCTCAAACACATTCTAAATCATATAAAACATTCTTCTTTCAAACATAAAACAAATAGCTAAAATATAACACCACACACGTATCCATATTCTATTATGGTCTACTGACATAGAATAATCTCAATACACACAGCAGAATAATTCTCTCAACGCGCAGAGTTAAATGGTCCCAAAGACCTTCTATTTCTAGGTATACTATAGAAACACATTCTTCTAGCATACAGGTAATCACCTGAATACAATAACATGGTGGTTTGAAATCTATTCTCAATCTCATAAACGRTTCTAAAATTCTTTTCTTCTTCTTTCTAAGAACATTTCTAACTTTCTCAAATCATTTCTAAAATCTTTCTTTCTAAAAACATTTCATGAAATTCTAAAATCATTTTCTAAAATCTCATTCTAAATAATATTTCATAACTTTCTCGAACATTTCTTTGAAATCATAAAACATTTCTAAATTCTAAGAAACATTTATAAATTATCAGACAAACGCATTTTCTTCATTCTTAGCAGATATGCTAAAACATACATAATATCTATAACTTCTCAAAAATTCTATAATAAATATCCAAAAATATTTAATAAAATAATCACTCACAAATCCTTTAAACCGGATCCTACGCTGTTCCAAATTCCATTTGACCTGAAATATATTAATCCAATATCAAATTAATTCATTCTTTAATCCAATATAATTTCAAAATACTCTTGTTCCCAATATAAATCATATATATTATCTTCCAAATTACCCCATATATCAAATTTAATATTTCATTCTCTCTCTTGATTAAAAACCATCACTTCTTCATTTTCTTATCACCTTACACACGTGAGACCCAAAAACACAATTTAATTTCTCTTCCTTTCAACTTCTCACGTGAAAGCCCCTCATTTTCATCAATTTCATTTTCCTTGTCATTTTTTTTTTAACAACAATTCTTCTCTATCTTCCAATCAACAACCCCTCTTCTTCTTCTTCATCTCTCTTCTCCAACCAAACTCACGGGTTCATCTTCTTCCTCCCTCACTTCTCAATTTTCTTTTGTTTTCTTCGTTTCTTTTTCTTTTCTGCAATTTCTTCTAACCCACCTAGCTTTGTTTTCATTAATTTGTACCAAGGAAAAGACAAATTAATTTCTTTTCATTTTTTGCTTCCAATCTCAAGCCATTACAAAAACAACATTTCTTCTTAAAATTTCTACCATACAACCCAACCAAATCGTACAAATCGAGCTCCACAATTTTATCCTTCATTCTTAGCTAAGAGTAACAAGAGTTTTCCCGCCATTCCTTGACCACCCATTAAACTCAACTCCTGAAGGACATTTATTTCATAAAAAACCCACAAATACAAATCCTTAAGAGCTTCACATAACCATGGATTCTTCCTATTTGATCTCTAGAAACTTACCAAATTCTAGATCTTAGCTCCGAATCGGAAAGCTTCTCCTTCTTCTCCATTTCAGCAACTTTCATCCATCTTCCCAGTCCTCAATCTCTCTGTTGTTTTCTAAAACCCTTTAKTCGTCTTTTTTTTTCCTTGCTCCTTTCTCTTCTCTTTTCTTTCTTTTTCTTCTTCTCTTTCTCCTTCGTTCTTTCTCCCTCTTCATTTCTTTTCAGTTTTCTTTTTCCTTTCCAATTTCTTTTTTTCCTTTTTTTCTTTCTCCTTTAGCCACACACGTCTCCAATCCAATACGTGTCCCAACACAAAAATTTCCAATTTTTCCCTTTTTTTTACCCAAAAAGACCATAATGCCCTTATAACTTTACTCTTTTTTTTCCTTTTTAGAAATCAATGACAAATGGGTCCTTACTAATTATTACCTTATTTTTTAGAAGTTCTTCCTCGAAATTCAGCCACGATAACCAATAAAGAAACTAAAGTATCCAATATGTACCAGATCTTCACTTTCATAAGATTTTCTACATACTTGTACCCACATCTGATTGTTCCTCAACTCTAGGTTGCATCATTTTAAATACCTGCCCCTGACCACGAGATCTATTTATTCACCCTTTCGATTTTGCTTCGCTAGAACTCCTTGTATTGATTTGTTCTTTGCTACCCATTGTGAATGGTTTTATCTGTGTATCAGGACATCCTTGAACAACCGGTCTTGAGGAAGCACCTTGCGAAACACTATCTTCATGTACTTGCTGTGGATATTCTCTGCTCATGTGACCTACCTGACCACAATTATAGCAAATATTTGTTCCCCACAAACACTGGCCATTATGTAACTTTCCACACTTCTGACATGAAGAATAGGATATGTTGTAACTAAATGCAGACTCCAGTTCCTGCAAGGTGTGCTGACTTTTACTAGGTCTTCTAAATTGACCTGAACCACTCGCAGTCTGCCGTGAAACATTTGTGTTTTCTCAAAAACTCGATGTTTCATGAAATCTTGGTTTAAACTTGCTATGACTCACTACCCCTGGTACAAAACCTCTATCGTTGCTTCGAAACTTTCTATTATCTGAAGAACTCATAGTGCTAGAAAAAGAACCTTGCACATTTTYCGATACTTCTCTTTGTTTCTTTCCTTCCAACACACTTTTTTCAACCCTGGCGGCTGCTTCTACTAAAGGCCCAAACTCTTGCCATCCGGATGCAGTAATGCGACTCCCAATCTCCTCTCGCAACCCATCTTCGAACYTTCTACACCTGTCAATCTCATCATCGATAACAGTAGATGCATACCTGGAGAGTTTTATATATTTTTTATGATATTCTGCCACGGTCATCACCCCTTGCACTAATTTTAGGAATTCACTTCGTTTCGAATCTTTGTAGGATCTTGGATAGTACGCACATCCAAATGAGAGGGATCCTGAGACCATGGAAGAATGGTTAAAGAAAGCTTAAAATAAATGATCGTTACTACCTATACTGACAAGGTGCACATTCCTTTTCGGTAACTCAATCGTAAGATCTCCAAAGTTAAGCGTACTTGACTGGGAGCAATCTCCGACTGGGTGACCTTCTAATTGCTTTACTAGGAAGCATGTGAGTGAGGACAAAGCATGTTGGAAGAACTCGTGTTGATTTGAAGGGATAGTCTATGCTCTTCTAAGTAGCTCAGAACTAAACGGTGGTGCGATTGGGTCGCAGGGGATGCAGGGGGATGTCGGGGCAAAGAGGTGTCAAATCCAAATTCTGAATCCTGGTCCAAATCCTAGACTCAGGGCGTTACATTGGGTGTCTCCAAAGAGAACCAGATCGGTTTGAGCATCAATTGCGATCTTAATGCTAGAGTGTAGGCTGTGAGTGAATGCAAGTTAAAGGATCTCCCCATCTTAACCCCATTTATGTTTTCTCCTTTTTTGCCGTCTGTGTGATAACTCTCCAAAAGATAGTTATTCTGGTGATTATTTGGGTGAAAATGTGCATTAAAATGTCAAAGTGTATCGGTTTTAGGCCATAACTAGCATAAATAGCGTTTAATTGCAAATTCTGAGCTAAATATCCTTAGTTTTGAGAACTTTGGCCAAAAACAGCATAAACTATCGTATTTGTGGTTCATTTGCACATGTTTTTAAAGAAAAAGCTAAAAAGAGAAGGAAGTGTTGAACCAAAGAAGAAAAGTCAAAACATTTTTAAGTCATAGCATATAAAAGTTGGAGCATAGCGATGCTAGAGCATGGGTGTCCGTACAGTTAATTCAAAAACATGGGATTCACTTATGTCCGTACAATCCCCAGTCGGGTCCCTAGGTCCCAATATTTAAAGGGAATGTTGCCCTAGCCGACAGACACGCAAATCCCAAGAAAGACAAAAATTGAGAGCTGAAAAGACCAAGGAACAAAATATACCCATTTTCGGGAGGAGAGCTGACGCCAGAAAGGGAAAGTTCACCTGCTGGAACGAACTGACTGCTTCTTCTTCTCTGTCATTTAGCCAATTTTCTACTATGGGTTGTATTTCTTCTTCTTCCATTTTGTTTTCTTCACCCATTATGAGCGAAACCCCATTTTGGGGGAGGTTCACATGTAACAACCTGTATTTTCTAATACGGTTATTCTGACAAAATGCGGAAACGTAACTTTCAAGAAACCTTAAGAACTAAAATTATTCAGCGGAAGCAATTTCTTTACAGAATTTTTCTAAACTAACTTAACTAAATAGAAAGATGACTTTCAAACTTTTGAATAACTAAATCATTCAAACATTCAAAACAATCCTACATTCATTCATACTTTCAAAAATCAAAGTGGAATGTTGCATTATTTGGGTAGCAGAACATATGTGGTTACTCGTCGGTAACACCAATCAATTAGAAGCTTCTATCAGAGTTGTCGAATTAATATCGATCAGAATAGAGTTGTCGAAATAATATCGACCAGAACAGAGTTGTCGAAATAATATCGACCAGAATAAACAGAACGATTACTTAAGTGTGAGGCCACGTGAGTGAATAACACACACATGAATCTTCATTCCCAAGAAATGCCAAACCACAAAAGTGTCTTCCCACAAATAAGCCAGAACAAAAATCTATCAATTCCAAATTAGGCTACTACCCCAAATAAGCAAAACGTTCCTCAAAACAAAATCATGGCATATCCAGATAGCCCTATCAAATCAATGAAAATATCTTTCAAATAAAATGCAAACAAATACTTACTTTCAATATTAAATTAATTCAAAACATTTGAATAATTTAAAACAAACTTTATCAATCCTCCAAAACATGTTTCCAAATATTTCACAAATAAACAAAATCTCAATTTCAAATCTTTAAATAAATCTAAACAAAACTTTATCAAATCATATAAGGATACTTCAAATACTTTGCAAATAAACATAATATCAATTGTCAAATTAGTTTTCAAATCCATAATAAAACTTCAATTTCATAGGGAAGATATCAATTTCAAATCTTCATATCAAATCCAAAATACATTTTAGTTTTCGAAGGAATATGATAAATCACTTACAATACTTTTCGAAGGATTTGAAATCACTTACAACACTTTTCGAAGGGATATGGTAAATTACTTACAATACTTTTTCGAAGGGATATGACAAATTACTTACCTCTTTCAGAAATCCTACAAATCTTATTAACTTCCTCTTTGGTAGTTGTCAACTTAGAGGCCTATAAACAACCAATATCCAAAAGCAATCCTTAAATCCTATACAAGGATTTAAAATTCAATCAATTACTAACCAAATCTAATCTACCTAATTTTTTCCATTCAAAACAATTTTTTATGCAAAATAATTAGGAAAGTATGGATTTGGGGCTACAAAACCATATCTGAAAACTGGGTTAAAAACCCTCTAAAATCAACAATAACAACCTTTAAAAATACAAGAATCGGTACAAATTAATACGGACTAAATTTACAAAATGTTTYTCAACAAAACAAGTTTAAAAGCCTTTATAATCAATTGAAAATTTGGGGATTTTAAATCTGGAAAATTTCATATTTTATAAAATAAAACTTCAAAGAATTTTCCATAAAATAATTAACAATTTACTGATTTTTATAGAAAAATCAGATATGAAAACTTTATAGAAAACCTTTAAAACTTGGTAAAAACATATAATTTTTCGTGTAAAAATCATAACAACAATCTATAATTTATAAAATACAAATAGGTAAGCTTTTTATGCAAAAACAGTCTCAAAATAGCCCAAAAACAGTCTCATAAACAAAAAGATTCAAACCAAAAATTCTGGAAAATTTTTAGGGCAAAAGTCCTTAAAATTTTTTATTCTAAAAAACAAAGACCTCAAAACTTTTTCCAATAACCTGAATTAAAGAACTAGATCAAGAAAAATAAAACCAAAACAATGAGGAAGAAAAACTTACCGATCTTTGAAAGAAAATATCAAAACTCTTATTCTTTTCTTTTCTTTTTTTCTTGGAGAGAAAACTAGGTCTAACAGTTTAAGAAAAATAAAACCTAGGGTTTAAGGGCTTTAATAACAAACCCTAACGAATTCTTATTTAAAAAGGATAATAAAAAGATAAAGACTTAATAAAACTCTTTCTTTTTATTTTTTAAATTCTAAGAACAAATTATCTTTTAAAAATAATTTTTAAAACAAAAAGTTTATCTTTGAGAAAATAGAAGAAAACAACTAAAAAAATAGTAATTTAAATATATATATATATATATATATTTTTTTTTTTTTTTCTTTTTTCGGTTGTTTAGATCAAATGTTGTAACTGACTTGAGACCGAACCTTTAGCTGCTACATTTATTTTTAAGCAAATCTGAATTTATTTCTTAAATCTTTGCGTTACTGTTGGCCACTGTTTCGTGTATGCTAGCTTCTATATTGACCCGGAAGGGCTTGTGGGTGCTGACTTGTTTCGCTTGTGATCAGCGCTTTTCTATAGCTATAGGGATACTCAGGAATGGGGTCCCCTAATCATGTCTATAGCTTGGGTTTATTGCTTGGAGTTGTATTTACTCATGTTTGGGGTGTCTCGGAAGGGAACCGAGTCGAGCTGGGCACTAATAAATGTTAGCTACGCTAGAGGATAGGTTGATAACGTGTTAAAGCATGTTGAATCTCCCCCGCCA